CCACAGAGCACCATCTGAATAGTTTCATTTTAAATAGGATGCGAATGTGCGTGTCTGGTGTGCCGTGTCGTGGCTCTAAACGGGTCATCCAGTGCGTCAGTCAAAGTTAATTTAGTGTGCGTGGTTATTAGTCTCAGTGTACAAGCTCTCAATATTTGAAAGGAGAACAGTACACTGTAAAAAATACGTTCGTAAATTTGACGGTAAAAAGAAATGGCAGCTGTGATTGCCATAAATAAACCGTTAAAAGTACTGTAGAAATGTAAAATCTTTGTAAATTTTATGGCAAATTACTGTTATTGTTTTTTTTCTTATGTCATACACCAATATTTTAAAGCACTAAGGTCAACACAACCTGACTTTCACATACACAGTGTAAAAATGCTGTCTTCCACACAATTCCTTCATGTTGTCCCAACACAAATCGATTAAGTAACCTTAAATCATTTTTACAAAGTAAATTTAACAAAACTAAGGCTAAAAGAAAATGAATGAATGAATACATAAATTATAAATAAATAATTATTTTATGTTTACAATACAAATCCAATTGATCTACTTATTTAGTAAACAAAGCACATCTCATCGTTTTCTACTAAAAGATAGAATATATTACTTTACAAACTGTATTGTACATAAATTATATGAACATTTTCAAATTAGTCAATAATATTACTGAAATTAATTAAAAATAAAAATGTACACACATTTACACAAAAACAGATGTGTTTTCAGTCTCAATTTGAACGTGCCTAATGTTGAAGCACATCTGATCATTTCTGGAAGCTGATTCCAGCAGCGAGGGGCATAGTAGCTGAAAGCCAATTCACCCTGCTTTGACTGAACTCTTGGAATTTATATGATCCTAAAGATCTGAGTGATCTGTTAGATTTGTATTTCGTAAGCATTTCTGTAATGTATTAAGGTCTTAGATCATTTAGTGATATATAGACCAGTAAGAATACTTTAAATTCTATTCTGAATGTAACTAGGAGCCAGTGTAAATTCCTAAGGATTGGTGTGATGTGCTCTGATTTCCTGGTTCTGGTCAGAATCCTTGCCGCAGAGTTCTGTATGAGCTGTAACTGTCTGACTGTCTTTTTGGTAAGTCCCGTGAGACTGTTACAGTAATCCACCATGCTGCTGATAAAAGCATGAACAAGTTTTTCTAATTCTTCCCTGGAAACAAAGCATCTGATTCTTGCAATGTTTTTGAGATGATAGTATGCTGATTTACTAACTGCTTTGACATGACTATTAAAACTCAGATCTGACTCCAGAGTCACAGCAATATTCTTGACCTTATTTTTCGTTGTTTGAGCTGTTGGTATATCCTTTTAAATATGACATAGACGGTTTTCTAGCATGCTATGCACTCTGCAATAAAAGCTGGGTCAATCCTTAAAGTTTAAAATTTTGTTCAGTTTTACTTCATCTGATGTGCAATGGTATCAAAGAGGTAATTCACTCCAAAAATTCGGTCATCTTTTACTCACTCTTGTTCTAGTCTGGTTTCAGTTTGTTTTTAGTTTTTTTTTCTTTTTCTTTTTTTTTAGTTGAACAAAACAATTTATTTGAAGAAAACGGAACACCTGTTACCATTGACATGGAGAAATCAATACTATGGAAGTCAATGGTTACAGGTTCTCAGCTTTCTTCAAAATATTTTCTTTTGTGTTTAACTTAAGGAAAAAAAACGGGTTTGAAACTACCCAAGGATGATAAATAATGACAGAATTTTGGGTTAACTATCACTTTAATATCCAATAAAAATAGTCAAAGCAATGTATCCTCAGCAAAGAAGCTGAGTCATGAGACTTGGATAAGTATTGTGATTATGATTTATGTCTGAGTCTGTTTTTTATTATTATTTTTATTTCTTGAAAGCAGGTGCTAGCAGGACCCATAGCTTCATTAGCTTTATTTGTACAAGCAACATCCCCCAAAAATCGTTGAATGAATCATTTTCATTTATTTATTTTTGCTCTAAATGTTATCAATTTCTCATAAGTTTATGGAAATCTGAAGGATAAAACATCACAACACAAATATTTAATCAACAATCCGCTGTTGATTGTAATCAAAGCCACTCAGTTTTAGATTAGCCTGTGGTTATTAATGTGAAATAGGCCTGTTGTCTGAAAGCTTAATTGTCTAATCCTGTAATGAAAAGGTGTAGTTGTCGTGTATTAAGGATGAGATTGTGTAAATCATGGACTGATCTGAGTTGCAGGAGGAGAGGAGTGGACATGGAGCATGAATAACTGCAGTGTCACCTCTGTAGAAGAGTCTCTAACGCCTGTCACCTCTCGCTTTTCACAATCACATCAGTGCAGCCACAAGAAATAACAATCTAATGATGCAGAAAGACAAAAACAGTTTATGGGGCACCTGTGTAACCCTGTGTGCTTAGAGGAAAACACCATGGCTAAAACAGGTTTACAGTGCTACTGGAATGCTGATATGGGATGTGGTTAAAAGTAGTCTAGTTTCCTCAAGTCGAAATATTTATCTTGTGTTAATATTCTCATAAATAGATACTATTTGTTTCTCATTTATAATTTGTTCTTACATTGTATTAACACAATATTACTTGCATTTAATTTAGGCTCGCAAGCTCTAGAAAGCCATAAAAGTACTACAGTTGAAATGTGTCTGTTTCAATTAAAACTTAGACCCCAAGAAATACAATAAAATGTTCAAATAAGGATGGAATGATGATATAAAATAATTAAGTGAATTTATTTCATTATATATTTATTTGAGTTTTTTATTTATTCATTCATTTTCTTTTTGGTTTAGTCCCTTTATTAATCTGGGGTCACCACAGCGGAATGAACCGCCAACTCATCCAGCATATGTTTTGCGCAGCAGATGCCCTTTCAGCTGCAACCCATCACCGGGAAACACCCATGCACACTTATTCACACACATACTCTACTGACAATTTAGCTTACCCAAGTCACCTGTAAAGCATGTGTTTGGACTGTGGGGTAAACTGAATTATACGGAGAAAACCCACAAACATGACGAGAACATGCAAACTCCACACAGAAATGCCAACTGACCCAGCCGAGGCTCGAACCAGCAACTATGTTTAGAAATGTGTTGAAAAAAATCTGCTCTCCGTTAAACAGAAATTAGGGGTAAAAAATAAACAGGGGCTCTAATAATTCAAGGGGGCTAATAATTCTTTAACTGTACATATAATATGCATGGTTTAATCTCTACGGCAGTGCTCAGTTCTGTTCCTGGAGATTTAATTTCCTGCAGAGTTCAGCTGCAAACTTGATCAAACACACCTGTCTTTATTTACCAAGTGTTCATTCAGATCTCACACAGACCGCATGCCAGTCCAATTTTTTTATGCTCTTCACTTGCTAATTTTCCCCTGTCTCTTTCTCTCAGATATACGTCACTGATTACATTACAAAAGTGTCCATTACTGGTGGAATGGGTTTCAATGAAATGCCCTACACCTTTGAACACTTGGAAACTACACTGTTTTGAAGTGGATTCATTGGGTTTGCTGTTGCAACCAATCTATTTTGGTTGAGTTTTAACAAACAAATTAAGTTAAACATTACTAAATTTAATTTGTTTGTTTACATTAAGCACATTTAGGTTGTTTGCAACAATTCTGAAAAAAACAAAAAAAAACAATTCATTGTAGGTGCTAGAGTGGACATATGTAGCAGACTCGCTTCATATTTAAATGGTATGGTCCATGTAAATGTCCTTTGTTCACTTGACAAAGTGGAACGCACGTTAAAATGGCAGCAGGGGATCCCTGGCGGAACAAGGGAAGCAAAGTTTGCGAGTGCTTGTGTGTAATTGAAGTGGAACACAGCCTTGGTTCGTTTACTTGTGTTTGATAAGGGTTGGAGCTAAACTCTGCAGGAAGTTAGATCTATATATTTATAAACTATATGTTCAAACTATATATTTAAAATGAGCTGGAACAACAGAATTCAATCAACAGAACTCAAATATTTTGGGGGGAGAATTTAATTGTGTTATGTTCAATCCACTTAAATTTGTAAAATAATATTAAGTTAACTTACACTGTAAAAAGTGTTTAGTTGAAAAAGTAAATAAATCCAATGCCTTCAAATTATTAAGTAAATGAGCTGTAATGTGTAATTTACGACGACACGTTAGTGCTGTAGGTAGTGCTGTCGCCTCACAGCAAGAAGGTCACTGGTCTGAGCCTCAGCTGGGTCAGTTGGCGTTTCTGTGTGGAGTTTGCATGTTCTCCCTGCATTTGTGTGAGTTTCCTTGGGATGCTCCGGTTTCCCCCACAGTCATGCAGTATAGTTATATTGGGAAGGCTAAATTGTCCGTAGTGTATGAGTGTGTATGGATGTTTCCCAGAGATGGGTTACAGCTGGAAGGGCATCCGCTGTGTTAAACAAGACGGATAAGTTGGTGGTTTAATCCGACCCCGAATTAATAAAGAGACTGAACCGAATAGAAAATGAATGAATGAATGTGTAATTTGAAAAATAAAATACAGCAATAAACTACATAACTGTCCTACAGTAAAATACAGTTCCTATTACAGTGAAATACTTTGTAATTTTCAAAAATCGTTAACAGTGTATAAAAGAAAATATTTTTTTCCATTTTTAATTTTTATATAGATTGACCAGACACATTTTTGATTATAAATTGATATTCAACCATAAAACAAAGCAAAAAAACTCCAGAAAAAATAAAATACAGTAACATACTGCAAAACTGTCCTACAGTAAAATACAGTTCATATTACAGTTAAATACTGTGTAATTTACAAAAATCATTAAGTGTACTAAAAAAATACATGTTCCCATTTTAATTTTTATAAGAGTTTACCAAACACATTTTTGGTTTATACATTGATATTGAACCATAAAACAAACAAAAACAAAACCCAGAAAAAATAAAATGAAAGACTAAAAATTGCTAAACACTGTGTTGTCCTGTTATTTTAGAATTTACTTGTGCATTCGTTTTTTTTATCCCTATCTGTTCATGCTTATATCTTTTTGTATCTCTTTCTTTTTTTCCCCAGTAAAATCTCCCTTAACGCTGATTCCTCCTGGCAGTTCAGTTAAAGCGTGCCTTAAATACAACCGCCGACTGAATGTTCCACCCATATTAAAATCCCCATATATATCACACAGCCAGTGAACATGTAAACACCGTTAACAGCAAACCGCCAAAAATAATCACAGTCATCATAAAAGTGCAGTAATGAAGCTCCACATATTTGCCCTACAGAAGCGTCACTAAAGACTCACAAACTGTCCAAACACACACACACAGACATGCACACAAACGACTCCCTCAGCTCTCTCTCATACACACACATGGGAACTCTGATCTCCGAGGACAAATTCAGCACTCGGGGACACATCGACCTGAGAAAAACAAGCCCAACGGTCATAATGAGAGGCTTTTTTTATTAGAGATGCACAAAAGAAGGCAGATGCTCGGCTTCGGATAATCACAGCCCTCCCTATTTGTTGCATGTCATCCGTGGATTCTGAGATCAAATGTGATGCAATCATGCGTCTTTGGAATACCTGTAGGCGTTAGTGAATCATTAAGCACCACACATACACACACACTTTTTTTTGCACGATAAAACCCATAGAAATGCACAAGCGACGCACACATTCTTGCGCACTTGAGGAACAATAAGAGACTGAAGTTGCTTTAGCGGCGCTGTGGGTGTTGTTTGGCATCCGGGCTGGAGGAGCCAGTAACACAGAGGATGCGTCAGGAAGCATGAGTGCTGCCGGAAAGGGGCATGACATGATCTGTCAGAAGGCTGTGTCCCTCATAGTTGACCTCTGTACGCAGGACAGCCCCCGGCTCGATCACAACACCTGTGAGGAGTTCCTCTTTCTCATCTCCAGTCAAGAGTACAACCGCAACGACTCCGGTAATTCTGATTATGGCTTTCTGCTTGATTTAGACTTCTGTGACTTGTTGTGTTGGTGGTTTTGTGAATGAGATTTGCTGGAGAGTTGATTCAGGGTGGCATCACTAATGTAACTTGTAGATTTTTTTTACATTAGTATGTTTGGTGTTTTATTTTGTATTAATTAATGGTACTTTATTAATTAAGTTTAAATATAGTGATGGCATCAGGATGGCATCACCTAACGTTTGACTTGCTTTATAATATATTTAGTGTTATATTTGGTTACTTTAAAAGATTTTATTGAGTTAATTCACCTTTTTGATTATATTAAGTTCAAATAGAGTGCTCTCAGTATGGCATCACTCACAGTTTGTCTTGCTTTATGCATTTATATTTTTGTATTAGTTACAGTTACATTTGGTTGCTTTTGTAAAATGTTTTATTAAATTAATTCATATTTTTGATCATATTTAGTTAAAATATGGTGCTCTCAGGACGGCAGAACTCATAGTTTGACTTGCTTTTAATGTATTTTTATTTTTTCGTATTACATTTGGTTGCTTTGTAAAAGATTTTATTAAATTAAATCACCTTTGTGATTGTATTAAGTTCAAATATGGTGCTCTCAGGATGGCAACACTCACAGTTTATCTTGCTTTATGTATTTATATTTTTTGTATTATGTTTAGTGTTATTTCCCAGGACTGGGTTGCAGCTGGAAGGGTATCCGTTGTGTAAAACATAAACAGTTTGTTGGATAAGTTGGTGGTTCATTCCGCTGTGGCAACCCCTGATGAATGAAGGGACTAAGTTAAAGGAAAATGAATGAGTGAATGAATAAATGAATGAATGAATAATTGAATGAATTAATGAATATTTAGTGTTATATTTGGTTACTTTGTAAAAGATTTTATTTAATTAAATCACAGTTCAAATATAGTTCTCTCATGATGGCAGAACTCAGTTTATCTTGCTTTGTTTTTATTTTTTGTATTATATGTATTGTTATATTTGGTTACTTTGTAAAATGTTTTATTTAATTAATTCATATTTTTGATCGTATTAAGTTTAAAATATGGTGCCGTCAGATTGGCATCACTTGCGGTTTGACTTGCGTTTTTATGTATTTTTATTTTTTGTATTATATTTAGTGTTATATTTGGTTACTTTGTAAAATGTTTTATTAAATTAATTAATATTTTTGATTGTATTAAGTTTAAAATATGGTGCCGTCAGATTGGCATCACTTGCGGTTTGACTTGCGTTTTTATGTATTTTTATTTTTTGTATTATATTTAGTGTTATATTTGGTTACTTTGTAATAGATTTTATTCAATTAAATCACTTTTTTTAATGTATTATGTTTAAATATGGTGCTCTCAGGATGGCAACACTCCGTTTTTATTTTTTTATTTTTTAAGGATTCATATTTTTGTATTATATTTAGTGTTATATTTGGTTAATTTGTAAACTGTTTAATAGAAGTAATTCTTGTTTTTGATCGTATTGAGTTAAACTATGATGTTGTCAGGATGGCATCACTCACCGTTTGCCTTGCTTTTTTAATGTAAATAATATTATATTCCAAAAAATGTTGCTCTGTAAAGGATTACAAATTTTGTTAAAAATTATTATTAAACATTATTGTAAAATAGTGTATTTAGTCAATTCACCTTTTTGATTGTAATGAGTTTAAACATGGTGCTTCAAGCATGGCACCACTCACAGTTTAGTTTCACAACTTTAGTTTTTAATGTAAATAGTGTTACATTATCATTTTGTGCACTGTAAAAGATGAAAAATGTTGTTAAAGATGATAATTAGACGTCATTGTAAAATATTGTATTTTATCAATTCACCTGTTTGATTGTAATGAGTTTAAATATGGTGCTTACAGGATGGCAACGTTTAACTTGCTTTTTTGATGTAGATAGTGTTATATTATCATTATTTGCACTGTAAAAGATTAAAAATGTTGTTATCACTAGACATTGTATTGATAGTAAATATTTACTGAATCATGACGTGTAAAATCCTGACTACTCTTTTTCCAAATTTAAAATAAATATATTATTGTTTAGAGCTTTTTTTTGGTATTTATTGGCAATAAATGTGCTTTTTTCAGATTTATTTTAATTATTTTTTATTTTTGTTCAACTTAGTTTCTATAGACTATGCAACAATGTTTTATCTTCAAAATAGTTAATAAATCAATATTTGACTGATTTTTAAATCACATTTTCACAAATATTCTGTGAAATGAGTCAGGATGAGTCAGGATAGTTTGGAGTTTAAATAAACTGCTCTCAGGATGGCATCTCTTACGGTTTGACTGTGTGGAGATGATTATTTAAGTCCTGAAGTACCAGCCAAAGAGATTGCTATCAGACTTTACTGGTAAGTTATTAGTTTGGCAATGACTGTTCTGTGTCCCCGAGAGATAGAGATCGGTTTGGATTTGCCACAGGTTTTGTGTTTGTTCACTGTGACAGAAAAATTATGGTCATGCTTTTATCGGAGCTCTGTTGTGTTGTTATCAGATGTAGACTAAAACATTTGACTGTGCGTGGAAGCCTTATCTGAAATCATTTGTTTTAGTTGCTGGCATAGATTTATTTGTTTTCCTAAGTTGGAGACTCAAGATCTTTTTATTTTCAATTACATGTTTAGTGACATAAAGGAGGCTTGGAAAGTTTGGAAACACTGCAGTTAATGTGCAGATCATCAAAGTAAAAGCCAAGAATATAAAGTACTTAATTATTTTATAAATGAATAAATAATGTACAATAAATATTTTAAGAATCATAATATAATTGATTATTATTGTTAAAACATGACATATAGCAACTTTAAAAGCAATGTTTAATTTATGATTAATGCATAGAGTGTATATTGTTTTAAATATATCCAAGTGAATGTTTTATTATTAATACTTATATATTTTTATTGTTAATAGAAATAGAAAGCCACCATTTTACGTTTGTTAAAACATTAATTAAAATAAATAATTACAATAATATTTTATGTTATACTAAAGAAAAATCTATTTTTCATTCAAATATTTATTTAATTCTTAGTATTTTAAGACTACAGCATTTGATACAACTATGTTACGTTTATCAGAAATTATTTATACAATATAAGGTCAATGACATGTCATGTTTAAGATAAAAGCAATAAAAGATTTCAATTTAACCACTTGAAAAAATTAATAAATCTAAAAAATGGAAATTAAAAGTAAAATGATTTAATATTAACTTATTTAGATTCTTATGTAAATTGGCTGCTTCTAATGTTATGGATGTTACGCAAGTATGCATATCTACATTTTGTGAATAATGCATGTTTATTTCTTCATTTGAATCTCGAGGTTTAAAGGTTTTTCTAAAGGTCTCTTATATCATCTTGCTCTGCTCAGTCAATCTGCTTGCAACCAGACTGTGGGGGTATTTTTGGCTGGTTTTGTTTTTGTCATTCTGTCACGTCGATGTGTTGACAGACCCCTGCGCAGAAGAAATGTGTCAAGTGAATGTAGACAAAAAATCTTGTCACTTTGTATTAACCTCAGCAGGCAAATCGAAGGCCCTCCAGCCCACCATTGGCATCCATGGCTGAGCCGTAGGGCCACTAAATGCCACGGCATGTTATCGGACCATCACTGTGAATCACTAGTGCCAGATAAAAGCTGAACAGGGGCTCTTCTGTTATTGTTGGGCTGATTTAAAGCCGAGCGTCAGGTTTCCCTCAGAGGGAAATGTCAAGCAGCTTGCTGTGTTTGGATGGTGGGAGGAAACGTTCCCAAGAAGCAATTTGCATCCAAAATTTCATGTCATGAGATGATGTTGGGCGAGAAGGTGATAATCCTCAATGTCTTGATGACAAAATGTTGTCTTTGTACTATATTTGTTTAGCATTTTGCACCCTTTGTTCTCATGTTTTTGCTGTCTGCCAAATCATTGTGGTTCTGTAAACAAACCAATTTTCGGCATCTTCAAATGTCAGATTCCTCCTCGGTCTTAGACTGAGGCGTTCAGTGTGCGTCTGTGATTGCTAATCTTGCTTAGGAAAAAAATGAAAATGTTCTGACAGAAAAAAAAACAATAACACATTTCTTTGATTCAAATCCAAGCGCTTCTCCTGTGAATGCACAGTGGTTGCTGCATGGCTCCAGTTTAGTTTGAAAGTCTTCCAGCGTTAAACCTTTATAGGTTTGGCTACTGAAGCACAGATGCTGTTCAGGGATGCTACTGTAGGACACTGTGCAGCTCTGGATGATTGATGGAAACCCTGCACACTCCCATTAACAGTCAACAGATGTGGTCCACACAGTTGATAAAAAACAACACACCTCTATGAGGTTGGAGTAGTGTTGGATACCAAAACCTACAGTATATGACTGGAATGTCCTGGAGCTTCATAGGAATTTCTTGGGAATTTTTTTACAGAGTAGTCTGCCATTGCTTGCTTTAACCATCCCCATTTATCCAGGCTTAGAACCGGCATGCGTGTGGATACTGGCCCTTAGAATTGCCAAAAGAAGTAATCGATTAAATGGCTAACACCATCATGTACTAGAGTGGATACATGTTTTGGTAGCTCATTTTACTTAGGTCTTGTTACCAATAAGCAGTTCAGTACAGTTTGGTTTGTTACAAATCACCCTGATGTGGCCTGCATTTCCACTGCCACTTAGCCTGCATTTACACTGCAGATCTTGTTGGTCAATTCCGATTTTGTGACTGTATCTGATTTTTTTGATGCCCTGCTTACATCATCTTTTAAAAGTGACCTGTTTTAAGATGATGATTTTAAGATATTGAGCTTCAAAAACTAAATTTTGATAAAAATATCTGATAAAACCTTATAATTCTAAAGTGATGATATGGTAAAACAACACTAATAATATTAGGCCTAAATGTAACTCTACTGTTGCTTAAAATGTTACATTTTGTACAGTCATTATGGTGGACTTGAACAGTTTTTCAATATGTCCTGCTTGTTAATTCACAGGAAAATGA